TGAAGGGCAGCTGCCACAGCCCAGCCAAGGGAACTGCTTCAGAAGATATTAAAAGAAGTGATAAAAGATGACAAATGCTACATGAAGAGACAACCTGCAAAGAAGCAGAGCTACCACACAGTGAAGCTGGAGTTGCTGGAGTATAGATTAAAGACAGTAGGTAACTCCAAATTACATGAATACATGCCTCAATTCTCACTGATGCCAATGATGATAACCACACAGAAAATATCACAGTTGAGATGAACACACAGCTCAAGAAACAAAATGTCCAAAAATGAGAAATTAAGTAATTTCCATCGGGACTAGTGAAAGAACTGGCATACGAAATTTCACGTGGGGTAGCAAGTTTAATAAATCAAGCAAGACACGAACAATATCATGCAATCAGAAATAATAAATGTCACATCTATATTTAATGAGGGAAAAAAATTATCAGAGCAACTAGAAGCCCTTTCTTCTACACTTAGCAGAAGCAAAGCCTTAGAACAATTTTTAAGGAAAGAATAATCCAAGCCAGTGAAGCCAAGAGAATTTGGGGGGGGATACCATGTGATTTAATACAGGTAAGGCACACTGATCTGACATCTTCCTTAGAGAAAAAAACCTCACAATTTCCAGAGAAAGGGAATGAAATCAATCTTGGCTGTCCAATTTTGGGAAAGCTTTAATGTTGTGTCACCTGGGAAGTTATTAGTTAAATTGAAGAAGATGGGGGATTAGTACAAAAAATTTAAATTGGCCTGAAACTGCTAGAGGTAGGACAGTAACAGCAGCATGAGGTAGGAACGTCAGGCTGGAGGGAAGTTATTAGCCTCACTGCTGAGGGACTGGTCTGACAGCCAGTCCTGGTTAATATTTCACCAATTATCCTGGCACACAAATAGCTATGCCCCTGTTAAAATTTTACTGAAGACAAGCTAAATGACATCTTTATGCAGAGAGGAGTGGGACAGTGTGGAGCGAGAGCCACGTGTACCTGGACCAGAGTGTCAGACAGAGGTGGCAGTTCAGCAGTACAGAATACAGATCATGTATTTGGAGAGAAAAAAACATCACCAAAATCAGCCTTGGGAAACTACAGAGGGCATCACAGGATGAATCATTATGTGATGTGGCTGTGAAATCAACCAGAAGAAAATGCAATTCTGGAAGGTTTTAGCTTAGAATTTCCCTATGAGAGAGAATGCAATTACCAGTGTTTTACAAAGCCCTGCTAAGAACCTCTCTGGTGTGGTGTGTACAAATCCAGACCCTTAGGTTTCCCAGATTCAAACACAGATAAATGCAGAAAAGAAACAACAGGGTCATTTTGAGAATGCAGCTCCCATTTTGCAAGGAGAGGCTAAAAGGTTTTGATATGCCTGGAGATGGGAAGCTGCAAGGGACGGCTCATCATTAGAGAACAGAGATGTTTTCTTCCTATAAAGTCCATGGGGCAAGAAAATACCTGAGAGCAGAGCTTTTAGAACTAATGGAAACTTCAGCAGAGATGAGACAGAAACAAATACCCATCCACTCAGCCAGGGAATGACAAGGGTTTTCAACAGGAGAGGATGGGCCAGGCTTTTCACTGGAATAATGCAGCTCAATGGCCTATTGCCAATGCAAAATTTAATAATGTTTTCGACTGGTCAGTACAGTTGCCTGCAATTTCTGTGACTGTAACAGAGAAGCAAGACCTGTGTCCTGTGAAAATATCATGAGCATTTCATGTGTGAGCCTGGAATAAGCCTGTGTAACACCTGCTGCACCTCTAATCTCCCACGGGTGATCGCACATTAATTTTCCCGCAAACCTTCAATTACAGGAGTGAACCAACAGACAATTATCCTAATGAAACCTCGAATTAAATGCAAATTAAATTCCAGACCACTGCAAAAGTGATCTTTGATTGGAAGTAGGTAATGAATTGGGTTTTGTCTTTAGCAGTTGTTAACAGGGTTTAGGTAAGCTCTGGGGTATCAAAGAAAAGATAAATTGGCTTAAACAATGACTAATGTAAAGCTATTAAGATAAACACTCATTTTTTACAGTTTGTTACAAAACACAATTAAGAAACCCCACATCAAACCAACAAATTTGCTCTTAGCAACTGCCTTCAGATGAAAAATGCTTCTTTTTTTCCAATCAGTGCTGTTTACAACAGGGAATGCCAACAGCTCCAGTTTCAGAACCAAGAGAGACTGGTGTGGGAAGCCAGAAGAAAGCATCACAAAAGTGGCCCATTTTAGGTTCTATACAAGCCATTAGGAGCTTCAATCAATTGAATTTAATGGAAATAGGAAAAGGGCTATTATTTAATGGAAGAATTTACCTCCAACCAAATTAGGAAAGATAGGTTAACTTTCCCTGATTTAGTTATCCTTATACACATCAAACATAACAGTAAAACCAGCGAGTTTTACATGGTAAAACTGAAAAGTAGAGGTCTTACCTAAGCAAAGTCTATTGACACACTGCAAGTTAGACAACATAACTACAATGAACTGAAAATAAATGTGGGGTTTTTTTTCCCCACAAAACATAGTGGAGGGACAGTCCTGTAGCTGAGGAAACACAAAGTACAGATCCCTAATGATACTTTTACTTAACTTTCAACAGAAGTACATTATCTTAGGTTTTTCTGGCCTCACCTGGTTCTGCTGTAATCAGTTTCTGAGGAGCATACTCCATTTCCCTTAGATGCTTCCAATACAATCCTGAGAGCATTTTACATTTGTATGACTTTGTGACATGCTCCAAACATTCGCATTTTTCCTATTTGCAACACATGTGTTTTTTAAAACACAAAAGTTCCTTATTTCACCATCTAAATGATGCTCCAATAGCACTGCAAATACTATTGGACACATTTCAGGGAAGCATGTGGAGTCTGATTGTTCCTTTCATTATTAACTCCATTGATAAACATTAGCTCGAGCCAAAAAAATTATCTTTCGTTCTTCCGAATCAAACGTCATCTGTTCCCCAGTCTGCAAACTGGATAGCAATCCAGCAAAACCATGCAAAGTCTTCCTGGTATGTGAAATGATTGACTATTCCATAGGGAGGCCACTTTGTAGGGATTTACATCTAACCTGGATCAAAGGTCTCACCTTCACTGAATAGGCAGGAAAAAAGGGAAATACTGTGTAAATTAATCCTGCTTTATAAAAAAAAGCCAAGCCAATTCCGGATGTCTTAAAAGTTAATTGGAATTTGCCTTTAGTTAATTAATGGTGAGAGTTGGGCCAGAGACATTTGGTTAGAACAACACAGTAGTTAGGAAAACACTAGGTGGGAAACAGGGCATAAAACTGGTGTTTGCATCTGCTGTCACACAATATGCCAGGGATTTATGGGCATGCTCCAGAAGTGAGGAGCTGCCATAAAGTGCCCCTGGCTGGGCAGTGCAGCCTCCAGGCACGTGGAGCAGCTGGAGCACACGTCCCATCACTCACCACGTACTTATCAGTGGCTCAGGTACACATGATTTACTGTGGATTACAGGAAGGGTAAAAAACTAAGCTATGTAGAGCCTGGATCCATCCCCAAACTTCTCAGAGTTGAGTTTCACGGCAGCTTTTTGATATGGGGGTGCTGCAAGAGCTACTGCCCAATGCTGCTCTGCACAGATGGGCATGAAGATCATAGAACCAGAGAATTTCAGGGTTGGAATGGACCTTACAGCTCATCTAATCCCAACCCCCTGCCACGGGCAGGGACACCTCCTCACTAGATCAGGTTGCCCAAGGCCTCATCCAGCCTGGCCTTGAACATTGCCAGGGTCAAATACTCAAATTGTTCTTTGAGTACTGGAAAAATAAAATCCCAAGATGAAGTAACTCATCACTAGAAACTGAAAGAAAAGTGTCCCAGTCTCAGTTTTAAACCAATACCTGTCAAGAACTGATTATTCCTTGGCCTTGATTACAAATGAATTTTCATTCAGGTGTACAGAAATCAGGTGCATAGAATCAGGTTAATTTATTTAAACAGCTATAGCATATAAACTAAAAGAGAGCTGCTTAAAATGAACACTTAACTCCAAAACAAGTAAATATTTTACTGCTATCAGGACTTAAGAAATCATCTGTGCTCCTTCCCTTGACAAGCTCTCAGGTACTGTGATATGCTACATTATTATGACAGGGTGAAAACAAGGAAGTGAAGTTAAAAAAATATTTATTCTTCCTCTAGCTGGGATTAGTTTCTGAGGTTAGCATGCAGATATGACCCAAATACAACTTGTACTTCGAATTTGCTTTGTGCTAAGTAACTGTGCTGAAATGCTGCTGTTTGCATACAGCTCCTGAGAGGATTCTTATTATGCAAAAATGAAGACGTGAGAACACTGATGAAAATCTTCGAGTCATTTATCAAACACTGACCTGAAATGAGTATTAAGAAAACCCTCTTTTATATGCAAATGGTTAATCCGATTGAGTTTAATCATGACTTTCCTTTCTCAGGACTGATGAGTTGTGTATGTACTATGCACCGTAAGATACAATCTTACATATCTCACTCACAAAAAACCCAGTTGTTTTGTCAATGGTTGCTCTGGGAACACAAGGAACAGAAAATGAATCTTTCCTTATTATTTTACTCACCTTTGAGACTATCCATAAAGCCTGTTCTGTCTGCCCACCTGCTGATCACTGGAGTAAAATCTGGTTTACACAGACCAAGTACTTCCATTCTCTCAACAAGACAAAGTCAAAGTATAATTGATTTCTCCGATGGATTTTCTAATGAATATCTATTGTTACTCTTGTTGCTAAAGTACTCACTGGTGATTGTGTTCCAACAAATATAAATCTCTTTATTTACTGCCAACTTCACAATCAGCTACAAACTGGGGAAAAGCAACATGAAAAAAAAACACATCAATGCCCAAGAAGGTAGAAACATCAGGCTCCAAAGTGGCAGTCTGGTGGGAGTGCTGCCTCGTAGCTACTCTCTGTGATTAGCCAGAGGTACTAAATCCTTTGTCCTGTAGCAAGAATTAACAAGACCTGAGCCTTATTAAAAACCAACATGATTACATTCTGTAAATCAGACTCTAACTAAACCATGTGGTGAACCAAAACTGAATTTAAAGCACTGTTTTCTCATACTGTAGTTTTATCAAAAATATGCATCATGTTAACAAAAATTAATAGCCCTGGGCCTGACATAAGGGAATTACTTTTAATAAGGGACAGGTGGAAGGGGAGGGAGTGATAGGACAAGGGGGAATGGCTTCAAACTGAAAAAGGGGAGATTTAGATCATGTACTAGGAAAACTTCTTCCCTGTGAGGGTGCTGAGACACTGGCACAGGTTGCCCAGAGAAGCTGTGGCTGCTGCATCCCTGGAAGTGTTCAAGGCCAACTTGGATGGGACTTGGAGCAACCCAGACTAGTGGAAGGTGTCCTGCCCATGGCAGGAGGCTGGAACAAGATGATCTTTAAGGTCCCTTCCAACCCAAACCATTCTGTGATTTATATGATATGCATTTACATCTAAACTTGGACTCAATATTTGGATTTAAAGGATATAACTTCTCCAAGAGGACATCACATACAAGATGTATAAAAATTTGGCATGCATGTTCAGATCCAGGTTGAGATCCCTAGTTACAAAGGAGCAATTCCTCAATAACTGCACTAAGACCTTTGCTATCAGACTGATTTACACAAACAAATGTATGTTCCATGTGGCCACTTGAGAATGCACAGAATTTAAATTAAAGTAACATTAATAAAGCACATTCATAAAGGGCTATATGTCGGACTTGGGGACCACTAAGCATTCCCAACAAAACCAAAACCATGTGAGGTGTCTCAGGAACATCCTGAAATTACCTGGAAGCTCAGACTGAGAAGCACAGGTTGGCTAAGACTGAATGGAAAACCTGAACTCCAAACCTAAACTCCATGTATTAAACAGAACACTCTATAACAGCATCAACAAATACATTAATTCCTTTCACCAGTTAAATACCTATACAATAAGACACTACAAAAGTAACATATGACTAGTTCTTCCTTACTTTTCAGTCTTGTTAGAAGAGACTGCTAAACATTATTATTTTTCAACATTACTCTTTTTACTCAGACTCTTCAGAACAAGAAATTTCTTTATGCCTGGTAGTTAATTAGAAAGTTCATGAACCTCATAATGTCACTTAAATAAAGAAAAATTCTCAATTTTACTTGGTAAAGTAATAATTTAAAATTTGAAGTGATAATTTAAAACTAACTTACAAGAGCACAAAGGACACCTAAACTTAACAGATGTTGGAATAAATTGTTGAATGTAGCCTGACCAGCAAAGCTGACATACTATTTGGTTTAGCATTTCTAATGGCCCAAGTTCATACTAATACTGCTACAAGTACATACTAATACAATAATAATTGCCCAATTCTCAAACTTTTACAGAAATAACCTGGATAAAACCTCTCTGACTATCCCAAAAGACATCTACAGTTTTTATCTAACATGATATAAGTCACTTTCTATGTGATTTCATAGCACTTCAAAGCTTTTTATTAAGGATTCTAAAACAGTACTTTAAAGGAAAGGATTTTTTTAAATCCAGCAACAAATTCTGGGTTAAAAACCAAGATTGTTCAGTGGCAACACTGTAATTACATACAAAGTTACGTAGGAAATCCAAAGCTTAAAAGTGAGGCTAAGAGAAGTTGAGCATTTCAATGTGGTTACACATGGAGTAGAGATGGGGTAGTGGAAGGACCATACTGATTTCAAACACAGGACTGGTAGGTAGGACTCAGGGAAGTCTCTTCCCACCCATCCCGCCAGAAGTCACAAGAAACACAAATGAAATCACAGCCAAGCTGAACTAACCAACAGAGGGCAGCTGACTCACAGGTATAGGGAATCCCTACT